CTAGATTATAAGGGTATATGGTCTAGCCCATCACCGTCCCCCCACAACTCAGCCTGTACTTAAGTCACTTGACTGAAGAGCACCGCGGTTTAGTGGTCCGTCATCTTCTGAGTGTGAACCCGAAGAAAATGGTTCCCATCTGCCTTAGTCAGGGTTTCTATTGCTGTGAAGAGACACCACGACCACAGCAATTCTTACAAAGGAGAACATTAAATTGGGGCTGCCTTACAGTTTCAGGGGTTTAGTCCATGATCGTCATGGGGGGAAACATTGGTGGCGTGCAGGCAGACATGGTGCTGGAGAAGGGGCTGGGAGTTCTACCTCCCAACCCGCAGGCTACAGGAAGTGAACTGTCCTGAGCTTTGAGACCTCAAACCCCCCCCCCCCCCAGTCATACTCCTCCAACAAAACCCACATACCACCCCTTCTTCCAACTCCTACAATGCCACTGTCTCCCCACACCCATATGCAACACCCTTCAGTGTCTGCTGCACGGAAAGAGCTGTGTCCACGTCGTGGAGGTGGACTGTCTTGACTGGAAGATCGCTTTCCCTCCAGGTAAGAAAGACACTTCTGAATTCTTTCATATAAATACTGACTGATTCTTGCTGTTCAAGGTGCCTGTCCCTCTTAGCCTGTGACTCCAAAGGCAGTGAGTAGCCAGATGTTTAGCTGCCACCCTGCGTGTCCTCACTGCCCCCTCCAACACGCCTCCAGGACTTCCATTTCCATACAGAATGCAGAGGCCGGGTGTAGGCTCTCTATGTGAAGACTGACATGCGCACTTCAGGCCCCACTTCCTTCTGCAATAGGAACTGAGTGGGTGATTCTAGGACACAGCCAAGAGCTTGGCTTGCCACTGCCCTGGGATGACCTTCCTGAGGTCAACGATAGCATTCAATCCCAGAGTGGGCCACTAGGTGGCGGAACGTGACCCTTACCAGTCCCAGGCCCTTACCTGCGGCGTTCAACTCTGGAGGTGAAGATCCCCACCCCTCCCCAGCACCTCCCAGAGCTGCAGTCCTGCAAAGTCCACCACAGCTGAGCCCCTAGAAGTTCTTGCCTCTCCCAGCAGACCCAAAGGGTGGCCCTCGGTGGAAAAACATCTTTTGTTCCCCCAACAGAAGGCAGGGCACTCATCTTTAGTAAGGAGGGCAGAATGTAGACTCTGGCTTCTGCGTGAATCAGGAAACCGGAAGCCCATCCTCACCCATCCCATTCTAGTAGAAGGTCCCATTGTGGTGGGGGGAGGGGAGAGTCATCAGGAGAGGCTGGTGAGATGGCTTAGGAGGTAAAGACAGTTGCCACCAAAGCTGTGACCCTCCTCCCAGTTGGCAAAAGTGTTTAAGTCAGAGGAACCACAGGAGACTAGTGGGAATGCAGCAATCAGCTTCGGGGGATTTCCACAGAGCTGGGCAGCACTTCCCTCCTCCCCCATAGCCACAGGGTCACTAATTCAGCCTGTGTGGCCACTGCTTCCTTTTTCAGCTCAGGTCACCTCCAACCCGTTCCTGAGGCAGGGCCTCTCAGGGTTCCCTTCACCATCCTCTGCCTCCGAGAAGATGGGAAGTCCAGGTCTGGCTTTGCAGCCTTCTGGGTAAATCCCACAGAGCTTCACCGTGGTTCTCGTGTCCATAGAGAAAAGACAGCTGGGTTTGATGTCCAGGATTCTGACCTTGGCCTTCAAGTCACAGGTGTTCTGAGGCTGGCTACCCGTTCCCTTGAGCATGGGCTTCTTCCTGACCCAGGGCATCTGGATTCATGCTGGGAGCTTTTCTCTGAGGTCCACAATAAGAGCTTGTGTTTCTAAAGCAACCTGCCAAGAACCAGCATTGCTCTCTGCACTTCAACTCGACCGTGACTGTCACCAACTCCGTCTTACAGATAAGGATGCCGAAGCCCCAAAGGGCTAAACAGCTTACCCAAGGCTCTGAGCCCAGTCAGGACCCCACAAAGCTAGGGCTTAGCCCCTTGGTGGCTGGGCTGTGGAGCCATGCACCTGGGTGGCAAGCAAGCCGTTGCCACCTGCATCCACAACTCTCAACACCCATGCTAGAGGCCCAGGATCAGTGTAAAGGCAATATGAGGTGAAAGAAACCATTAATCTTCCAGCAGGAAAACATCAGTCCCAGAATGGCCTGTGGATAAATCCCAGATGTTTGAGAGACTGAGGCAAGAGGATTATAAACTCAAGGGCAGGTGGGTGACTTGGTGAGCAGTGTGTGTGTGTGTGTGTGTGTGTGTGTGTGTGTGTGTGTGTGTGCAGTACTTGTCTAGCTAGCTCACCTAGAGTCCTGGCTTCCATCCTCAGCATGGCAAGAAACAGGTGTGTTACTGTTCCTGCAATCTCAGCACTAGGGAGGTAGAAGCAGAAGGATCAGGAGTTCAAAGTCATCCTCAGCTACTAAGTGAGGCCAGCCTAGGCTACATGAGATCCTATCTCTAAATAAATAAATAAATAGAAATACCAAAAAGAAGACCCAGGGGTGAAGTTCAAAGGTCCAGAGCTTGCCTGGACCGAGCAAAACCGAGGGCATGGGCTCAATCCCTAAAAGAAGGAAGAAAGAAAGAAAAAAATTTAATCTTAATTAATAAAATATACTTCAAATTTAAGTTACAAAAAGAAAACCCCAAAATGTTCCCCTTTCTGACCAAACAGGGAGCCAGTAGCTCAAAGGTGCCACCTCAAATGGCCCATGGACCCCACACGACTCCTGAGGAAACCTACAGCTGTGCTGTGTCTATCCCAAGCTGTGATGCCTCTCAGGGCTCCGAGGGAGCTGGTGGCCAGCTTGCAGCCTCAAGCAAAGCTGGCAGCGGCGGAGGGCTAGTGGGACATGCTTAGCAGGGGGTCCTGCCCACCAGATTGAGGGAGCGATGCCTTCCTGGCCAGACGCTAAGAACGGCGGAAGTCCCTACCTGCCAGGCCTGAGGCTGCTAGCAGCCAGGCCCCTAGCTGAAGCCCCGGGCAGACCTCAAGCCTCTGAGTGATAACTCGATTTTCTGAAAAATGACTTCACCCTGCTTGCTCGCTCAGCAGCAGCCAGCGACCGCCGAAGTAACTCGATTTGCCAGCTCAGTGACTCAGCCTCCGGTTTCATCCTTCCCTCCTGGCCCCTGCCATCCTCCAGGGAGCAGTCAGCTCGGGCTGGCTGGCCTCCCAGGAAGGAGTTCCAGGGGTACACCCAGTCTGAACACAAGCCGCTGAGGCAGCACAGCCAATCAGTCACCTTCAGAGGCGGGCTTTAAGGAAAAGCTAGACCAATAGTCTCTGGGTCTCCTTCGAGTGAGGACCCCGGGGAAAGTGTAGCTGAGAATCACCGTTATACCTTTGGTCAGGTGGGGACTGATTAAGAAGGAACTGAGCTCCGGGTTCGAGTCCCATTCATTCAAGGGCAATCACGGCTATGTAGGGATCTTAAGACCGGCGTGGAATACATGAAATTCTGTCTCAAAAATCAAAACAAGGGACTGGGGACGTGGCTCCATGCTTAAACTGCTTGCAGATCTCCAACCTCCGTGCTGAGGAGGGGCTTGTTGGCCAGCCAGTCTAGCCAATCAGTGATCTCCAAGACCCAATGGGCATCTCCATCAACTGAGTGATGACATCTCTAGCCCAATACAGTTACTCAGAACACCTCCGAACCTCTAGCTGTCACATGCATGCACACACACACACTACAAATATGTACACACACACACACACACACACACACACACACACACACACAAAATAAAGAGGAAATCAACCTGGCTATGCTGTAGGGAAGGGTGGGAAATGCAGTGAGGCAGCTTGAGAGTCTAAAGTGACAGCCACAAGCCTATAATCCCAGGTTAACAGGGGTGGGTGGGAGCATTGCTGTGTTACACACAGGGACAAAGGAACATGTCCCTGGCATGGACATGTCATCAGAAAATCAGCCAGCGGGCACTATCCGTGGCCTGCTTGTTCTGAAGTCCAGCCCAGGTGATGCCTGGAGGACATCGGGGCTGCTCCGGGCAGACACTAACCAGGCTCGGGCTTCCAAAGAGTGGCTGAGCCCAGACACCAGAGACAACTATGAGGGAGAAGTGCAGGGATAAGAAGAGTGCCACAGACATCATGAGTCCTGGAAATAAGACTGACTACCTGACCAGAGGGACAGACAGCCCCAGAGTGACCAACAGCCCTTGTTTCCTTCTTTTAAAAATCCTTGGCTGGAAATTAAAAGTATGGCGGCGTCTTCCTAGGATGTTAATCTCTTGCTCCTCAGACTAGGCTCTCTGAGTACGCTGAACCTTGAAGACTCAGCCTCTAGAAGGCCAGTGACATGGCTCAGTGGTAGCCTATTACATAACTGGGAAGGTCGAGGGAGGAGGATCATAAGATGAAGGCCAGCCTGACCTGTGTTCTGTCTCTCATGTTGCTATGAAAAACAAATGCCTGACAAAGAAAGTTAAGGAAGGGAGGGTGGAGAGGGCTGTTTTCTCCACAGTTTGATACACAGCCTCTCACGGTAAGGGAGGTTTGGTGACAGGAATGTGAGGCAGGCAGCCATGTCACAGCCGTAGCCAGTGTCTTGGTTACTTTTCTATTGCCGTGCTGAGACACCAAGGCCAAGGAAACTTGTAGGAGAAAAACATCTCTTTTGGGGTCACAGTTTCAAAGGGTGAGTCCATGACCATTTTAATGGAGGGCATGGCAACAGGCGGGCAGGCACCGCTCCGGAGCAGTAGCTGAGATGCTCACATGTTGAGCCACAACCATGGTGCAGAGACAGAGCTAACTAGAGGGGGTGTGGGCTTTTGAAACCTCAAAGCCACGCCCTCAGTGACACACCTCCTTCAGCAAGGTCCCACCTTCCAGTCCTTCTCAGCCTATGGGGGCGGTTCTCACTCAAACCATCACAGCTAGGAAGCAAAGAGGGCCGGATGCTGGTGCTGTTACTCCTTCCTTCTTTCCTTTCTTTTTAAAAACATTTTTTTATTTTATTTAAGTTTATTTACTTTACATCCCAAGGGTGCCCTCCTCCTCTCCTCCTCTCTTCCCAGTTCCTCCGTCCCTTCCTTCCTTCCTTCTTCCCTTCTCCCTTTCCCACCTCCTCTCCCTATACACATCCCAGCACATCAAGTCACATCAGGACTGAGCATATCCTCATCCACTGAGGCCAGGCAAGGCGGCTCTGCCAAGTAAAATGGTCCAAAAGCAGGTAATAGAGTCCATGTTAGAAACAGCTCCTGTGTGCCCCGACTCAACAAACGACCCACAGGAAGACCAGGCTGCCCACTGGCCACATAAGTGCAGGGCCTAGGTCTAAACCATGCATGCTCCTTAGCTGATGTATCAGTCTGTAAACTCCCATGAGTCTGGGTTAGTTGTCTCTGTTGGTCCTGTTGTGGAGTTCCTGTCCCCTCCAGATCTTCTTTTCTTTCTTGAGACACGATTTTGTGCTTCTCAGGCTGGCCTTGAATTCACTAAGTGGTTGAGGACATTGAACTTCTGATCTTCTTGCCTCCATCTGCAGAGAGCTGGATTTGCAGTAATGTCGTGCCACACACCCAGTATATGTGGTGGTGAGGATGGACCTGAGGGCTTGGTGCGTCAGGCAGGTACTCTCCCCACCTACCTGGCTACCTCTCCAGCCCATGGGTTGCTGGCACCCACATTCAGGGCAGGTTTTCTCAGTCAGTTAAATCTCTTTGGAAAAAAACAAAACACAAAGACACACTCAGAAGTAGATCTAAGAAACTCTAAATCCCATCGAGTTGACAGTAAGACTAACCATCACACCATCTTAAAATAAAAAGGAGAGGGGCAGATATAGAGTTTCTCAAAAGGTCTGTAGATGTAACTCAGTGGTAGACCATTTGTCTAGGGTCCTGGGCAGAGTACACACACCACCACCACCACCACCACCACAGAGAGATAAGGTACATAGGTATATACATATACAAATAGATACATAGACAGATGATATATGTGAAAACAATAAAATAAAAAATAAGCAAGTGGAAAAGAATGCAGCAAACCTTTTGTCTACTCTCAGTGACCAAAACAGCAGATACTTCATCTAATGCCAAGAATTTTAAATTTTTAAATTAAAGAAACAACCATTCGTAGGGCTGGGTATAGCTCAGTGGAAAGCGCTTTCCCTGTACTTGCACAGAAGCCTTGGGAGGACAGGACACTGTTGATGGACCACCTGAGGTCCCACTAAGACCCTAACACTGATCAGCCATGCCCACTTGGTCCCGCTGTGTCTGTCTCTCATCTGTAAGGTGAGGTCAGTTGGTGATTTCCTTCCTCAAGTGGCTGAGTAGGATAGATGGGTCTCCATGGCACGTGTGTGTACTCATGTGAAAGCCAGAGGCCAGCCTCTGGTGTTATTCCAGGGGCCATCTACTGCAGTTTTTGAGGCAGGGTCTCTCACTAGGACCTGGGGCTCATTAGGCTAGACTGACTGGCCAGCAAGCCTCAGGCATCCTTCTGTCTCCACCTCCACAGCCTTGCACAGCCTGTGTTTATAAGCAACCATCACCACAATGCTCCTTTTTTTTTTTTTTTTTTTTCTTTAACATAGGTCCTGGGGTTTGAACTCAGGTCCTCCCATGATTGGGCAGCAAGCCACCTTTCAGCCCTAGAGAGGATGTTAGTTGCCATTTCTCTGCCTAAGGGTTGGGTTTATTTCTTCTGAGTCTCAGTCACAGAGGATCCTCACGCCACCTCAGTGATTTCAAAACACTTACTGACTGGCATCATATCGGGCCCAGCAGCGGGCCTGACCTCCAGCACAGCCTTCACACTGTGGATTCCTCCCCACTGCAGGTCCAGGTTTCCGCATGATTGCTTTCAGGTCCTTTTAGTGCAAGGAATGGAAAGCCCTGTGTTCTAGTTTATGGGGCTCTGCTGGAAACAGCTGAAGTCTGATGTCTCCAGGTAACCATTTATTTGCACTCAGTCTATGATAATGGACTCCCTTTTCTCATCAGGGTATTAAAAGTCTCTCCTGATCTGGTGACCCCAGGGCCTGTAAAAAGTGTCACATAGCCCTCAGGGCAGATTACAGATCCTTTCCTGATAGGAAAGCCACTCCAGCAAGCATCTGGGAATGCCTAGAAATGCCCGACCCTGCTAAGGATCTTAGTCTTCAGCAGTGACCTTCAGTTCTTGGAGATTTTCCCCTCACTCCTAGGATAATTAAGTACTGTATTTTCCTTCTTGTGATAGGCTCACGCTACTTCATGGAAAACAAGGCACTGAGCCATTACAGGTAAATCAAGTGTCTCTGACCCCCTGGATTCCATCATCCTTCCACCATGACTGCCTCAGATTTATCATTTATCTCCCCCTGGCCTCATCTCACCAAGCCTGCCCTTCGGCCTGCTGGGCCTAGGCTTTGCCAGGCCTGTGTCTCAGCTGCAAGCTGACCAGGCATGGGGTTTTTGCCTGAACCTCTTCCATGCTCAGCACAGCAGCTTAAGGAAAAGCTATAACACTTTGGTATCGCCATAGGCTTTGGAATGTCTGAGTTTCCATTATCACTGGCCATTTCATTCTAAAAGAGCTAAACTGTAACATTCCGTGGAAAACCCTTTTCCACACTCGGGTTGGCTTAGCACAAGGGCCCTGCCTTAAAGTGCTCTAGCTGCCCCTGAGATAAATGGACCCCCCATTTTCCATCCCCCCCATTCTCCATCTGGAAGCCTCCAGACCCCTGCCCAGTGGAGAATGACACTAGTTTGTTTCTCTCCGTCTTGTAATAAAACACTTACCAAAACCAATTAGGAGAGGAAAGGCTTACAGGCCTTCATAAAGGGAAGCCAGGCAGGAGCTCAAGGCAGACAACCTGGAGACGGAAACTGAAACAGAGGCCATGGAGTTATGCTGCTTACTGGCTTGCTCACCATGCTTTCTCATAGCACTCAGAACCACCTGCCCAGGGATGCCACCACCCATAGTGGGTTAGGCCATTCCACATTACGCATTAATAAAAAAAAGCACCCCAAAGACTCATGCACAGGCCAATCTGAAGGAGACAATCCCTAAATTGAGGGATGAATTCCAGATGAATCTAGCTAGTGTCTAGTTGACAAAACAAAACAAAAGAAACAAACAACAACAACAACAAAAACCTAACCAGAACATCTTTGGACTAACTCAAGCCTTAAGGTAGAGGAAAGTCAGGAAAAAAATATATATATATAAAATATATATAATATATATA